CATTCACAGCCATTTACCTTTGCCTCCTCATCAAATTTTCATCCGCTCTGTGACCGGCTCTCCGCAACTGATTCATTACGATCCCCGTGATGGGCCGGCAATAAGCGGAGAATCATTTCATTATTCCTCTCCCCTGTCACTTGTTTTTTCCCTCTCTGCCTCTTCATTCATTTCATAAAGATGAAATTGGAGTCAGCTTATTCCTCTCCGGAGCCTGCTCCACTTCCAGCCTCCTAATGTCTCGGCCCATCAATTTGTGTCAGTCTCCATTCTGCTCTCCGCCATTGACTTGGTCTCCTTCCGGGAAAGCCCTGCTAGGCACTGTCTCTCTGCCCTCCCTCCCTCTCTGTCTCCATCTGGTCCTCTCCTCCTCCACCTGACGCCTTTCTTGCTCTTTCCGCTGCTTCCTCCACCTCCACATTTCACTCTGCCCTCCCGCCTTCCTCTGACCTTCTCCGTCCTCTTTAGGCCTGCTTCCTGTTTTCTGCTTTGTGAAGTAGTGCCAAAATGAATATTTTTAACAACCACTGACATTTCATTTTGACCTGGCCACAACAGCCAGGACGGACAATAAATATATTTGATTTTAAGGAGGTTTATTGTGCTGCTTGAGAGCTAATACGTCCTTCCACAGCTGAAGAAAGATGTGTGAGAGTGCAAGTTTGTACAAATATCAAATATCTGGCCCAATGAAATCTATTCTGTACTGAGCGCGCCGAAGCCTCCGTCACTTGAAACACCCTCAACTATTATCCTACTGCAACGGAAACCGTGACACACAAATGCAGTTTTGCTGTCACGCTGGATTGCTTTTAGTCAGCACTGTCAGTTTCACAGCTTTGGAAGTCATGCTTGGGGGTAATCCTGGTCTTTTATCTTCGTGTAAAGACCTGAGCAGAGGAAAATTGTGAGTGTGTCTCAGATACAAATCTTCCGAGGTTGTGATTTAGAGGAAAAAGCCACAAGCGTTTAACGCCTTCTATTATTAGAGCAGCTCCTCATATGTTCAGAGATAACATAGATTACCAATACTCTGCTCCTGCTGCGTCTGCTCTCTGTAACACAGAGGGAGACATTTTTTACAAAAGACCACCACACAGCCGGCTCCATACTGAATTACACCAGTAAAATGTGTGATTTATAGCGTGATACAATTAAGAAAAATCCTAAAGACTGTATCCTCAATGTCCCAAAACAACATGGTAAACCTCTAGCTCCTGTGCAACATGATCCCCAAGGACCCGTGGTTCAAAATGAGTCCCTTCTGTACCCATCCCCCACCCACGCACCTTGGCCTGCGGGATAAATGAACGGAGGTCAAATAAATCAAGTGGAATTCTTAAATGCGATTGCGTTAGATAGCATTCAGTTGGCACCCATCAGCTGGGCCAATGAAGGTAAAGAGCGCGCTTGCTTACGTGCCGCTGCAAGTGAATCCTTTGCTTGGGACATTTTACAGAAGCCTTGGCACGCAGTCCCATTTCTTAAGGGTAGAGGGTGCAATCACCTGATTTGATCCAGGACGTAAACAAGTAATTATCTGATTACTGTAGTGAATAATCACACACATCTCCACCTTGAACACGTGAATTGCACTGTAGACCCTTTTTTCTGCACACCTGGTTCCCGTCCCATCGCATTATTAGAGGGGGAAGGAGCAGAGCCGAAGATTTATATGGACATTTAGGGGTCACAGTTGAGGGGCGGCGTGACAGCAGAGTGAACGTTGTGTTTAGTGGTGCAGTTCACACTGACACACAGCACCTCCAAGAGGACCAGCTGCACACTACAGGATCAGGCACTGCAGCACCTCCTGTGGTCTTAATCTAGGCATCTTCATTCATCCACATATTTCATCGTCCCTTCTCCCACAGCTCACTGCTACTGATGATCTGGGACTGTGTGCATGACATGTCTAGATTAAAATCATCCCTTACACCGGTGGTACACTGTCTGTTTCTTCCAAAATGCAAGATCCTTTATTTCTGCAGGTTTTTAAATATGAAATGTTGTATGAAACTAAATTATGATAATTCCTTTCAGCTGACACACTACTCAGTATATGGAGACAAAGTTTCAAGGGCCATTGGTACATCACGTTAGCTGGCAGTTGGCCACAGTAGCTTTTACAGAAATATGCAAACCTAATCAGGACTTCAGTCCCATGACTAACAAAATGAGGCAATACATTCACAAAGGTTAAAAGCATAAGGAGCTTCCTTGGCTTGATACCAATAAGTAAGATTGAATGATTTTGTCTTCTTGGTAGTCATGAATTCCGTAAAGCTTCAATTACAAAACACAACATGTGCGTCTTTTATTTTAGAATATTAGTTGCAAAGGATAAACAAAGTTCCCTTTGGTGTACAAATCAACTTTATTTCTGTGGGAGCAACGCTAGATTGTATTTGTATAAATGGGATATTTTTGTTCAGCCATAAGATGTAAAGACAAGTTTCTACAACTGTGCTAACAGAAAATGCTAACGTTCTGTCCATAGTTTATTCTACTAATTACAATGCAAAGACGCTGATAGCTAGCAGGTATGTTCAGTATGCTAATTAGCGCTACAAACAAAGTACAGTTGATCATGTCATTTATAAAGTTGTTGAGACACTTCAGTCTGGACCAAGTGGCAAAACCAATCGATTGACAGAAATTGAATAGAAATATCTATTTAGGTTTTTATATTTTTATTGTTGTGCTTTTAATGTTTGCCTATATTATTAGAGTCTGTTGTCTTTGAAATTATGTATTTTACATTTTATGAATGACAATTGTGAAATGAACGTGTGCACATGTTCAATAAAAAAACAACAGAGCCTGATGTTTCAGATGAACTTTTAAGGTGCATAAACAATTGTTGGGTTTTTAAGTAGGCTTTTGTTATCCAGACAGAAAATAACAAAAACCTTCGACACCTTTCTGTGATGGTTGCCGTTGGTGCTCACTCGTTCGTCTCCATCCATTTATTGTATTTTTCTGTGTAATGTATTAATAGTTTTCACCCCAAAGACGTCAAAGTGCCCTTTTTCAATTAGCAGCTCTCAGCACGGGCGTCGACCCCCTAAAGTGTGTACTAAATGTGTTAAAGCTGGTTTCCCGACAAGGTTGATTCCAGATAACCATGAGTGTGTAGTGAATGTGTAACATAATAATAATATTAATAACACATTTAATTTATACAGCGCTTTTCCAAATCGTCCCCTCGTTGAACATTTAAAAAAGGCGGTTTTAAATATAATGGTGTTTCTTTGGCTGTTTCCACTTATCGACACCAAAGAGGAATAAGTTAGCAGTGAGCGACTGTCTGCTTTCTGTTCCACTGAGCCACCAGATGCTGCAGCAGTGCAGGAGCAGCGGTTAGAGACTCACAGGAGGGCTGGTCTGCATCTGGAATTCAAAATAGCGCAGCTGCTGCAAAGGCGATAATTTAGCAATGGAAATTAAAGACAGGAGAAAACGTATGATGTTATTCGCACAGCATCAAGCCATCAAGTTCAGGGCAGGTTTCTGGCTTCAGTGAGACAAACTGTCACCAATTCTCCTCCTCCAGAGCTCAATCACTCGTTGAATTTGTCTTCTGTGTATTTTCACCATTGACATGTTCGCTGCATAGTTTTTTCCATGTTCTTTCACAAACCAAGCTTTGTCATATGGTTTAAAATGAACAGTGCACCAAGAAACACCCCATTCCACAGTGTCAACAAGTTCACTGCATATTTGGGTGATCGCTACTCGTGCAAGGAATACTCAGATTATTTACTTAAATAAAAGTCTTAAAAATGTAAAACAAATGTAGTATGCTCAAAACATATGCTTAAAGTATCAAAAGTAGAAGTTTTTAGGATGCAGATTGAAAATGAGAATGAGCCCTCTCTGTGTATTGTAATGAACTTACTTAGTCATAATCAATAATCATGTGATAATAAGTGAAATTAGATAAAGGCAAAAAAGGGCAAAGTCTGAAACATGATCTGGACAGATTTAAACTGGATAAATACAAAATAAAAATAAAATTGCCCAATAAAATCAAACCACCACACAAAAGTACATAACACTTCAGTGTTGTGTTTTTTCTTCTTAATTTACTTTTGATTGATTTGGCAGTAATCAAATACTCAATAATAATGTGTGAAAAAGGTTCAGCCGACTGCACTTTCAAGGGCTTACAGTTTATGTGCCGGAGAGAGCAAATCTTTTACAGCAACAATACCGCTTTCAGGTTTTGATCATTAACCGTTCAGACTGTTAAATGTTTTTTTAGATGAAAAACATACTTGACATGAATGTTCACACACACACACACACACACACACCCATAATCACGGCCGTTGGGCTCGGCGGGTGACTTCTCACGTTGTCAACTCCTCTCAGTGATGTCACGCATGATGTCACGTCTGATATCTCAAAGGCCTAATCGTGTCCTGACTGGCTTCAGTCAACAAGGTCAACCCGGCTGGAATGCCACGCAGGGAGTGTCTCTCCTCGCTGCCACGGAAACCGCCTGAACGTACAGCGGTGGCCTCCGCAGTTGTTGTTGAGAGTCAGTTGCAGATGTCGCACTTCAATTCTAAACCTCGTCACGACAAAATGTTGTGATGTGTTAGAAACGCTTTCTCTCTTTCTATGCTGTTGTGCGTTGTCAGATATTTACATTCCACGGCTGTCTGTCTCACACACACATTACCAATTATTCTCCCACCCTTCAGCTCCAGTGCTCTTGTGTAACTCCCTTCCTGTGCTCGCTCTTCAGGTTTCAGTTGTTTTTTTTGTCATCCCTCGCTCCCTCCTTCCTAACCCTGTCTCGTTCTTTTGTGGTGGAGGGAGACATTTGGAGAATTCTTGTCTGTGACCACACCAAACTATGCGTCCTTTTTTTCCCCCTCCTGTCCTTTTCCTAAATAAGGAATTTCAATTTACTTGGGGGAAGAGAATGTACAAGGGGGCGGGCCATATAGTGAAATAAGAGGACAGGAAGACAACTCTCTCTCTCTCTCTCTCTCTCTCTCTCTTTCTATTGAAAGAGGCCAAGTGATATATTTCAGACAGCGCTCGGTGTAGGCAGTCCTGTTTAGTGCACTCAGCAGGGAAGAAGAAGAGCGGGAACACAAAGCCTAACCCACCTGTATTCACCTGAAAGCTACTACACCAAGTAAGTAAACAGCTTTTCTTATTCTTTTGTTTCCTCTCTGCCTCGTTCATCAATCTCAGTTTTCTGCTGTCTTGCTGGCAGACAAAAGATTTCTTTGTAGCTTTAAGCTTGTGGCTGACGGTACAGGAAATGTGAAAAAAGGTGTAATACATCATGCACCCCGCCCTTGCAAACTACGTCCTTTCCTCTTTCCTTCCCTTCCGCCTGATCATACACAGAAAAGCCTGAAGTCTATCGATTTGTGTGCGACGTGATCCTGTAACTTCTCTTCCTTTGCTCTCCCCACTCTCATCATGTGCGAGACTTCACGGCCTCTTCAACATGTAGCCACTACTGTCTAATGATCAAGCGTCATTTTCTAGTTCAACACATGGTCTGAGCGCCAAGCGTTCAGGATACGTCAGTAAAAGTTTATCACATACGTTGTCACGTTTATGGTGAAGTCGTAAGCGCAGGCGAGTGCGAGTACAGAGAAAGGGGAACTGTAAGAGTGTGACTTCAGGTGCTCTGTGGGCTTTTCTCGCTACCTTCAGTGAAAAGGTAAAAAAAAGAAAGTGTGCTGAATGGGAAGTGTGCGTCAGCAGCAGCTGCAGCTGAGGCTGCGTTGGCATAATCACGTGACCTGGTTAATCCGTTGTGTTCAGATAATAAAGGTTACACAACGAGCTTTTGCTCTTTCCCGGACCCCTTTTGTGAAACATGCAGAAACAGATGACAGCGAGTTAATGTGACACACAAGGTGAAGCGTTTGGTCAGGGGAACAACCATAGCTGCATTTGAGTAACACGCTTAACCCCCAGATGACACATGGGAGCGGATCAGTGGGCTTAATCAGAGGGCTCCGAGTAGCAGTCAGGGTTTTAAACACTATGTAAAGGTAAACCAGGGGATTATGGGAAAGCTCACTAAATAATAACTAAGTGAGAAAAAAGTCAGCCACACCAATTTGCAGTCTTATTTTTAATTGACTGAGCTGGTTTGCTTTGACTGTAGACCTCATTGTTACTTACAACAGTCATATTACCGACGGCTGAAAAGGTTGAACTGCCCACAGCAAAGGCTTCACAAAAGCAGAATATTAATCTAGTTACATTTAGACACATTCTGTCAAAAGAGGAGTTTCGATGAGGTGCTGACAAAATGCGTCACCACAATAACCTCCTTGTCGCAGCATGTGTCAGGCAATGAATAAACCGGTTACTGACACTTGTTTTCCATATTTAGTCACTGCTGCAACTCAAACGGCAGTTATTGACATCATGGCGTTCGTGTGGCGTCGGAGCCGTGACTATGATTACAAGAGGTTCTCATTATTTACTAGGCAGCTCCCGGTTGATTCCTCTATTCGTAATCTTCCAAAACACACATTCAAACATCTGTACCGCCTCTCTACTTGAATGGCTTTGATCCATTCTTGTGACATCCAATCAGCTGTTTGAGTAGTTCAGAGAGCAAAGTGCAAGTTTGAGATAATTTGAAAGTTCCTCATCCCTCATTGTTCACTGCATGCAGGCAGGAGTCCTGATGTTTGCAGCTGCTGGATGCTCTTAGGACAGATTGAACCTCTGTGTTTGAGAATAAGGTCGTTCGTGGTCGTTCCTTTACTTCACCTTTATTGTTAAAGTATAGTTGTTTAGCGGAAGTTTCCTCTCCCCCACATGCCCGTGTAACCACAACGTAGCACAATGAACAGTGTCCCAAGTGTGAACTATGGCAGCAAGCTAGACACGCTAGTGATCCGTCACATCAGCACATACTGCGTGATACTGAGAAGCTTCTGTTTTCAACATATGCAATAGGTGTTTCTTTATGTCCTTGCGTTGAACCAATTAAATCATAATTAAACTCACGCCGTGTCAGCAGCCGTGCAACACAAATGTAGTATCCATATATTTGCATAACACATTGCAGTGTTAACACAGTACACCAAATGTCTGTGCAGTAAAGTTTTCCTCCCAGCTATAAACATCTCCATACGCTATCTGCTTTTCTAGTTCTTCAAAAAATGGTTCTTGGTTTCATAACTCCATTTCTCAGATACGAAAAAGCAAGAGCTGCGGTTTGGCAGCTTTCGTGTTTTAACAGACTGGAAGGAGGATTTTTTATTTTTTTTGTCATTGCCATGGTGATTAGCAGTGTTGTTTTGTTTGGACTCATGTGCACAGGACATGTCAGGGAGGGCGGGAGGAAGGAAGTGACAGCCGAATGAGCAAACAGGATGCAGGGAGTGGGGAGGTTCTAATGAAGCCAACAGGAAAGCTTGTACTGCATTAAAAGTGAGATAGGCCATCGGTAATTACTTACTGCACGCTTGTAATTCTTCAAGACATTAGCATTACGCTACACCATTTCCAAAGTACAACATGTCTTTGTTAGATGAATGTCTGGAAAAGGGAGATAAAAAGCTCCAGTCTTTGGCTGTTTACAATTTGGCCAAACTGCTTGTTCACTTTCTGGTGAAGAGAAAGACGAGAAGCCGCCATCTGTTTCCCCCTCTTTTCCGTCTGTGTGCTTAACTATTCTTACCAATGCCTGCCTGTTGCTTCATATTTAACACACAAAATGGAAACTGGTATGCATCAATATCAGATGCTTGATTTCAACATTTTAAGTCAAATTAGTTTCAATCCAAATTATAAGCTCAACTAACAGACGTTCAAACAACCAAAACAGCCTCTTTGCCTATTGGGGACCAATGAACCCCTTCTCATTCTGAAGGTTTGAGTTGAATAAGTTCTCAAAAAAACATTTAGTAGAAACACATGCACAAATGCACGAATCAGGAAGAGCGTAACTCTGAGGCTATTTGTTCTGACTGCAGGCCAGTGCTGTGGGTGTGAGCAGGGATCACAATGTGAGCGTTCTGCCTTATATTAAACAACCCAAACTGTAAAGTAATACGCCGCCAAGGAGAGACCTTTGCTAAGCTTTCTAACACAATTTTCCCCTTCCGACAGAACCAGCATGGCAAACGTCGGTCCTTCTTTCGGTCTCTCCCGGGAGGTACAGAGCAAGATTGATAAGAAATACGACTCCGAACTGGAGGAGAGGTTGGTGGAGTGGATCGTCGTTCAGTGTGGCCCTAAAGTGGGCCAGCCGGAGCCGGCCAAGACCGGATTCCAGAATTGGCTCAAGAACGGATGTGTGAGTGTCGTGTTATTCATGAGTGTGAATAGAGCATTGTAGTTTTCATTGTGTACAGTTTATTTACGGGGATGTGCTTGTTTTGTCCAGGTGCTGAGTGAGCTCATCAACAGCCTGTATCCCACCAACAAGCCAATAAAGAGCATCAAGACCTCCACCATGGTGTTCAAGCAGATGGAACAAATATCCATGTTCCTCAAAGCAGCAGAAAACTACGGAGTCACCAAAACTGACATATTTCAGACTGTAGACCTCTTTGAAGGTAAGACAACCAGTAGAACTGATATTATTATGAGAGAATTTTGTAGATTTACAACAATTGATTCTGTATTCAGCGGCGAGGAGAACAGAGCACAGGTCACCGCCCCTCCCTGTGTTTGCTGTGCGCTCTGTTCATGTGAGACTGTTGCATGTCCACAGGAAAGGACATGGCTGCTGTCCAGAGGACCTTGATGGCTCTGGGTAATTTGGCTGTGACAAAAAGCGACGGGTGTTACAAAGGAGATCCCAACTGGTTCCACAGGTGAGTTTGAGGGTTTTGAACTAGTCTCTCTGCGGGGATTTGGTAACACAAAGGAGATGTTATTCCGTCGGCGAGGAATGAGGACGTGGAGCTGAGGGATTGTGTGGCCGTGTGTGTGCAGGAAAGCCCAAGAGAACCGGAGGGATTTCTCAGAGGAGCAGCTGACTGAAGGCAAAAATGTCATCGGCCTGCAAATGGGCACAAACAGGGGAGCATCTCAGGCTGGAATGACGGGCTACGGGCGACCCCGGCAGATCATCAACAACCCGTGAATCCGTGAAGACGCTCCTTCGTCGGCCCTCTGAAAGGCCAGAGAGGACCACAAGGAGAAGTGTAATCTGACTGTTTGCAAGGATAAACTGGACTAAAACGGGAACCAAATAGAACATCTGCACATACTTCATGTCGAGTAGGTCTAGACAAATAGATACCTTAAAGTTAAGTTTTTCTTAAACAAGAATTCCTTTTTTTTGCACGTTTTAACCCACTTAAAACTTAAACCTTTCACCTCATTTTTGAGCTCTGGAATTGAATGAAACAAGTAGCTGCCTTGAAAGTAAGAAGTCCTATTTGGTTTACAATAATGTTAAGCACAAAATGTTTAGCTTGTTAGCTACAACAAACTAATCCACTGACATAGTCGACCGTTTAGTCCTTTTAAAACGTGAATCGCCAAACATAGAACACAGTTTGCTTTAACTGCTCCACAACACGATCCGCAGTTAGATTTGCGTTCAATATGTCGTACCTTCTTTTTAACGTCTGATAACGTGATGTATACTGAGAATGATTTCGAAATAAAGTTTGATTTGCGTTTAAAGGAGCCTCTTTTGTGATGAATAGATTAACGGTAGAGATTATGAAAGTAGAACGCTTCGTCCACACATACTGATAACATTATTGATCACTCAAAATCACTTTACTGTGTGATTCTTTATGGCCTGGTGGCATCAGGTAAACAGTGAAAGAGATTACTAATGTCCATAGCAACACCATGATAAACATGCAAAAGTCTCCAGGTAGGATCGCACCTGCCTGTGTTTGCTTTAAAACTCAGCTGTACTCCACACAGAGATAAGCACAAAAAAAAAAGCCCAAATGTGGGAGGAGGGAGAACGTGGTGGGTGGGAGTGATGACTAGTGGGGCTTGAATATTTCCTGGCCGGGATTTGCCCAGTGTAATGGAACGAGGGAGACGAGGGCGATTCAGAGGAGGACTATCACTATCTCCTGCCAAGGTTTTGTTTATTTATACTACGTTCTTCCTTGAGTACCGACAAAGCTCTTCAGCATGAAGCGTCCCAGAAGAAAGACCAGTAAAAGGCCAAGATGGAAAAGAAAAGCAGGAAGGAGAAGAAAGAAAAAAAGAAAGAAGTTAGGTTTGATGAGAGAGAGATAATGTAGAAACAACAGGATGAAGTGATACTTTTAAAAACCGAAACGTCCTGGTGGAGTCAAAAACAGCAGGTCAAGGTGGCTCGGGTCAAACGGAGAATACGCCAGGAAAGGACAGAGGACCTAAGAAATCCAAGAGTACTTCCAGAAATGGGATTTCCCCTCCTTCCTTCTCATTCCTTGTCATTTTTAGTGTGTTAACATGAACACGTGGGAATAATTTAAATTCATGAAACCTGCACAAATTGAAATCATCAGAAAACTGCTTCTCATTACGTGCTTGATCACTGTGCAGTCACACTAATATCCAACAGTTTTTAAATACTTTTTCCAGCAGCTATTTCCTCAAATGGAACGAGATTATATTCATTTTTAATGTCCTAGCACTAAAGTTTACTCCTACCGTTGATGATGCTGTGGGTCTCTGGGACCGCGGTTGTTTTTCTCAGCTGTATTTTAGACGATTGTAATTGCATAAAATCGTTTATTATTTCAACACTAACATATATTTCTTCACAAGCACTTTCAACACTAACTGATTAACTAACTGACAGTGGTAACACTGCTCATCACTTCCAAACTGCTTTGGTCACAAGTTCAAAATATAGTTTATTTCAATACAATTCTTTAATTTAATTCACATTTAATTGTCATTGAGAACATTGTAGTCATGGCAATCTTAAGGAAACTAATTTCAGAAAGTTCATACACTGTTGTTTCGTCACCTTTTATGTCAGACGAGATAACAGGCTTTCCTCTGAATCCTTTGTCATCTATTGTTTAAGGAGGGCCGCTCCACGGATGACTTTTAATTCATCATTTATTGACTTACTGAGCGAACAACCTTTAGCATATATAATTTACTCCCTGACTTACATCAGCTATTGTTTGTTACACTGTGCCAGAGTCAGTTAAGAAGTTAAGAATTAACTGATTTGTCATTAATTGATCATTTGAGACTTGAGAGAAGGGAACTCTTTCAGTAAGGTATTTCATTTTCTAAAGCGCTGCTGTGGAGATACTACGTGTGTGTGCGTGTGTGTGTGTGTGTGTGTGTGTGCCTTATGGCCGCCTCAAATGAGACCTCTTGCATTGAAGTTGAGCATTAGGGACAAACTTAACTAATATGTTGATGTCATTTTTCATTGCTGACCTCTCACTGTGTGGACTGTAACACTATACTATACTCTCTCTTTATTATCATATTTACAACAATTCCACATCCAACCTTCAGTGGCACGCCGTTGCCTTGTCTTTTTGACACAGAAGCTTTTATTTTACATTCCATCGGAGTTTTAATGAAAGCACGGAAAAACCAACACGCCGCTGGCCTCGGTGCAGAGGAATGCACTTTGCTTCCATACAGGGGCATACCAGCCGCCACGATTAGCCTCAAGGTTAAAGACTGATGTCTGGAGAGATGCCAGATCACATCCTTAGACTGTCTCTGAGAGTGTGAATGGGGACGCTGATTTAACGCCTCGTTTCTACCGCTGTTGAGCAAAGCCATGTGTTCTGAGAGGTAGGATGCAGCGTTGCACAACTGAAATACAAAGGTACAGGAGAAGTACATTTTTCTTATTTGTCTGTGCACCATAACTTTTTAGCCCCCATACTAAATAATGTGGAATGGTTTGAGGCCCAAATTCAATGTCCTTGTGGTGAATTATGGCAACACGGTCCGGTTACGTAAATAAAAGGATTTCGGTCCAACTTTTAGGGACAAATGAATCCTGAAGGTATTAAAGAGGGTAATGCAGAGAACCGATTAAGGCATCTCAAGGTGAGAGTTGAAATAATGAGTTACTTCCACCTCTGGCTGCTGTGCTTCCAGCTTGGCCCGCAACATAAACCGGCAAGACTGTCTTCGCTGGAATGACAATATCGTCAATCATTTTTCCAACAAGCGCTCCGGTTTACATCAAGGCCAGATAATGGTGTCGAGCCTGAAAGGTCATTCTCGAGGGCACGGACCGACTTCTTTAGTTCAGGGCTCAGGTGTTTACCACTGGAGAGACGACAACAGTCTGCAGGGACGTGCACACTGCAGCTTTCCCCTCATTTACCACTTTACACATTTTACCAACAAGCAAGCCAATTGTTCTATTACGGAGATCGTTTGCACTAATCAAAGCACTTTTGGTCTGAACTACATTGAACTACATTGAAACGGAAAATTTTAGCCTGCTTGGGTCTGTCTGCAGCAGGGGGATGTCAGTCCGAGGTCATCAGGAGACGCCAGGAAAAGGCAGCAGTCGAGAAACGTCCTGGGGAAATAAAACCTCCTTCTCAAACCCACCTCCTACTTCTCGCGTCCCACCGACCTCACCTCTTTCGCCCTCACTTTCCTCTTTCACCGCCCTCTCTCCTAACCAAATTCTTACCCTAGTAACCTCTGCCCGTCCGACCACCTGCCCTCTTGACCCCATTCCATCACATCTTCTACAATCTATCGCACCTGACCTTCTTCCGTTTCTCACCTGTCTCATCAACAACGCTCTGTTATCTGGCTGTTTTCCCAATTCTCTGAAGGAGGCAAGAGTCAACCCTCTCCTGAAGAAACCCACCCTCAACCCTTCTAAAGAAAACAACTACAGACCGGTCTCTCTTCTTCCCTTTTTGTCCAAAACCCTTGAACGTGCTATCTTTAATCAACTCTCCTCTTATCTCCACTGTAACAACCTCCTTGACCCCCACCAGTCAGGTTTCAAGGCAGGCCACTCCACAGAGACTGCTCTCCTTGCTGTCTCTGAGCAACTCCACACTGCTAGAGCCGCCTCTCTCTCCTCTGTCCTCATCCTTCTGGACCTCTCTGCTGCATTTGACACGGTCAACCACCAGATCCTTATTTCCTCCCTTCAGGAACTTGGTGTCACAGGCTCTGCTCTCTCCCTTCTCTCGTCCTACCTCGATGGTCGCACCTACCGGGTAACCTGGCGAGGATCTGTGTCGGAACCTTGTCCTCTTACTACTGGAGTTCCTCAGGGTTCCGTGCTGGGTCCCCTCCTGTTTTCGCTTTACACAAACTCTCTTGGCGCTGTCATTCGCTCGCATGGCTTCTCTTACCACAGCTATGCCGATGACACCCAACTAATTCTCTCCTTCCCTCACTCGGACACCCAGGTGGCGGCTCGGATCTCTGCCTGTCTAACTGACATCTCTCAGTGGATGTCCGCCCACCATCTGAAAATCAACCCCGACAAGACTGAACTACTTCTCTTTCCCGGAAAAGATTCGCTTACCCAGGACCTGACAGTCAACTTTGGGAACTCCGTACTAACGCCCACTTCGACCGCTAAGAACCTCGGCGTCACACTCGAAAGCCAACTCTCCCTGACTCCCAACATTGCCGCGACAACGCGATCCTGTAGATACACGCTCTACAACATCAGGAGAATACGCCCCCTTCTCACTCAGAAGGCAGCGCAGGTACTGATTCAGGCTCTTGTCATCTCCCGCCTGGACTACTGCAACTCCCTCCTGGCAGGTCTCCCTGCCACCGCCATTCGACCTCTGCAGCTCATTCAGAATGCAGCAGCTCGACTGGTCTTCAACCTTCCGAAATTCTCCCACACTACTCCACTGCTCCGCTCTCTTCACTGGCTACCGGTGGCCGCCCGCATCCAGTTCAAAACATTGGTGCTCACGTACCATGCTGTGAATGGATCGGGTCCAGCTTACATCCAGGACATGGTCAAACCCTACATCCCAACCCGCACTCTCCGCTCTGCATCTGCAAAACTACTCGTCCCTCCCTCACTGAGAGCAAAACACTCGACTAGGTCTCGACTCTTCGCTGTCCTTGCGCCGAAATGGTGGAACGAGCTCTCTGAAGACACCAGGACCGCAGAGAGCCTTCACATCTTCCGCCGCAAACTAAAGACACACCTCTTCAGACTCTACCTCGACTAAAGACTAACAAATTGTAGCACTTAAATTGTACTTGTAACGTCACTCATCTATAGCAAATTGTAAATTGGCTTATTTGAGGAAATTGCACTTTCTTGTTTCTTGTTCTCCTGAGTTTGTACCCTATGGTTGAATGCACTTATTGTACGTCGCTTTGGATAAAAGCGTCAGCTAAATGACATGTAATGTAATGTAATGTAATGTAAAACGGACCGCCGAGATCCTGATCTGAGACCTGGTAAATGAACCTTCGGACCAAGCCCATTATGGAGAGGTGCAGCTCAAGAATCAATGGGTATGAATGAAATGCGATGTCCTGTTCACAGAAGGACCTCCTGGAATTCTTTGGCACCATTGGAGTGTGCTAGAGATGGTGTTACACAAGCCTCAACGGAGGTAAAACAGCTATCTTAACAGCTCCAGCAGGGAAATTATCATTTTTGCAGTAAAATCGCTTGCCCTCCACTGTGGTTTAATAGTTTTGCGATTTGCGGTGGAGATCCTCCATGCATGAGTGTGCTTTTCAAGACAGAGGCCAGCGACTGTGTTTATGAAGTACAGAGGCACTTAGCGGGAACGGGCTTGGAGACTCGCTACGGTTAAGCATCACATCACATGCAATAAACATGGCCTCCAGGCTGAATATGCGTGGATGAAAGACTCATGTGGAAACCATAAAGGAAGGTGTAGTGGTGTGACCTACATGCGTCATCGGCTCCATTGATTGATGAAAGGGTGAGAAAGTAGGAGTGTCGGGTGTAAATGGCGGGTCATTTGAGTCAGGAAGCAGATGTCCCCTCTCCAAACGTCTGACGTCGTGCGGATCTCAAACATTGAGATGTGAACTGGGGATTCAAAACACAACGAGAGGAAGACAAAGCGTGAACAGTTGAAAGCTCAATATTCTCTAAATAATTACGTAAATCCTTAAAGCTCACTTACCTTGGGGCCCAAAACACACATTTTTATTTGACTGTGAGCTGCAATTTAGCGGCTGATTGACCCGACATACCTGCTGCAGTGAAGCTCTGAAGTGCTTTGCACACAAGAGGAGTTCCTCAAGGAACAGAATGTGGACTTGTGTCTGTAATCCTGGCGTCGCAGACACGAATTACATCACACACATTGATACACTCTAATACTTAACTGCATTACACTCTGAGATCTTCACCTGACTTATCCTGGTTACTTAATTTTAGGCAGAAGTATTTTTCAAACAACCAATAAAAATCCCCCAATCTCTTGATAAGCATTAGGGGTTTTCTAAACGTCTGCATCTATGATGACAACGACTTCTGTATTTCATTTCCTCTGAAACAACATAATCTGATTGTGAAGTGAAACTTTCATGTTCATTTTTTACAGGAAAAGCCACATCACGAGGCTCACGTCATGGCAATGGCACAAATTGCACTTACATCGCTCATCCTTTATGAATGAGTTTCAGACGAATCATACACAAACTGCGTCACACGGCACGGTGAACAAAGGCGGTCAATACGCCACAAGTGGAATTTAGACCACACCGCCACTTATTGTTAAATAAGTAAATTAGATTTTTTTTTTTAGAGGGGATAATTCAACAGAGGACATCGGGTCAAATAACATCACGAGTGCATCAGCATGGTGTACAGACACTTTTTTATTTTTATTTTTAGGTGACCCCTTGATCGGTGAGATGATCCACATTCCTGTTCACCTGCCCTCAAGATGTTGCTTCAAAGATGCCCAACGGTGTACAGCTCGTCAGTACTGAACAGAAGCCGCGTTTTCAGCTAAGAGACCAAGAACAGCACACATGGCCAGATTGGTGTTCAACACGGCCAGTTTTAACTTTTAAAAACATTGTTAGATGTGGATCACTGGCAGTCTGCACACACTGTATGTGGTTTTGATAGAAATGTACAAGCTGTGGACAGAGCATCTGTTTCTTTCCTCACTGGACATCTAACGGTCCCACAGGAAAGGGCCTTTCATCGTCGGATCATTTCATGCGATGTAAATTGACGTGACACACAGAGATTATGTTTCTTCATTTTTACAGCATCACAACTCTTTTTTGAGATGGAAAAAGTAGAAAACTAGTGCAAATACCAGCTTCAGCTCCTCGGTACGGGCCTCCAGATGGAGCAACCACTTTTGCCACACTGGAACACTTGCGGGTCACAGTTAAAATAACTGCGTGCAACATTAAAAGTGAGCAAATGATTTATTAAGTAGGTATTACACAACATGCCAAAGTTAACATACGCTCTAGCAAGCCTAGTTTCATCTTTAATTAGGGCATTTTTTCAAAAGAAAGCTCTTAAATAGAGTTGGTGAAGCATTGCATTGCACATTTTGGCTTCATGAGAGAAGGTGTGGGGGGGCTGAATTTTTACAACTGGTCTGATAAAATGGTTCCCTCTGCTGGTGAGCGCATAACGCACAGTGATGCGAATCACAAGCCTCCACAGGAACAGATTCGTGCAGCCGGTCCCTTTATTCAGCATTCAACTGCGATCACTCGGCACAACAGACTTTGAGTAGTAAAATTAGATTAAAAAAGAATCACCAACATGTGACGAGATCCTTCTTTGTTTTTGTTTATTATTGCAGTGCTTTATTTTGATATTGTCACAATGGGCCAAAACAGTGCAAATGCAGTGGCATCAAACGCAAACTCCCACCATCTGACCCCCCCCTTCAACATCGAGCTTCATACGTCTTATATACAGCCGCCCCCCCTTCTGCCCCCAACACTCACACGTCCAACTGACACGATCCCGCCCCAGACGTACTGCAGACAACCGTCCCAATTAACACTTAAGGCGCACACACACACACACACACACACTCACAAACCATTCATGTACCACAGAGAGGTCAGAGATCAGATACGACAGGGATATTTAACAAAAGAGGAGAAAGGGAATGAAAACGTGCTTTTAAGAGAAAAATACTGTATATGCATGCTTTTTTAGGGGGGGGGGGGGGGGGGAGAAGGGGAGAGAGACATCGCTAATCAAAGGTTGAGTATTAGTGTGGGATGCACAAGCCGAAAGAAGTGTGTGAAAGCCATCTGTATTTATGAGAAATAACCCGCATCGTGATCAGCCAGGTGAGGTGAAAGCAGGTGTACTTTTTGTGTAAGTGCATACTGAAAAACTGTACACACTATGTCAGTGACATTAAACAGACACCCAGGGGAAAATGCAAGAAGCACAATTTTGAAAGCTGGCAGGTCCAAAATGAACAACTTAGATCTGTAACCTTCTTGTTTGTTTGCCCATTAAAATGAATAGTCACAGTAAACGTACACAGATAAAAAACAGTGGAATGTAACTCCATAAGCAAAAAGTAAATACATAGTCATAGTATGACCATATGTTGATTCATTTAAAAACAGCCAAGTGGAGGTTTGTCTTAAAACACGCACGCGGTCCACACCAACGTCAGGTTTCAGTTGAACATTTAGTTGAGTGATGACTTTAGGCAACACACGGATACAGTAGTGATCAGCAGTGTGTGTGGTTTTGGGGAAAAGCAGTTAACTCTCCAGAGATACACTGATCTATTTTAAATTGATCAACAGGATCTTAAAAACGTAATATTTACACATTAACCACTTGACAGACAAATCCGGATCATAATAGATTTGTGTTATTATTTCACATGACATTTGCTGGATTACACCATAAGCAAAGCAGAGCTTTTTTTAAAGTACGACTCATTTTGAGACATAGTGTGCATCTCAGCGGTGGTTCCCAACCAATGCCACACCAAGCATTGATTTTACCTGGAAGAGGTAAAACTGGCCATTTTATGCGCTAGAAAAAAAAAGTAAAAGTAAAAACATACCTTAAATATTCATATTTTTCTTGGGACTCCCTTGGAGCCCTTGACTCCGGGTTGGGTACCACTGCTCAATGTCAGATAACATCCTGCCTACTGTGAGTATGCTGAGCCTGGACTAGTGTTAGTAGAGAAAACACTTTTACTAATTTAAAGCAAAACATGGAGTAAGAAATTAGAGTGTTTGCAGATTACTGAAGACCGAGTAAAAACCGAAATTAATCAGTGTGTGCGCTTGTGTCTGTGTGTGTGTGTGTGTGCATCACTGCCGTCCCCCTTAATCTCAGAATATCTGTCTGTGATTCAGAGCAGTCGGACTTTGTAAATAATTTTGCAATAGAAGTTACTACTGCGGTCACAGTGTCTGCAGCGAGGCCCCCCCCCCCCCTCCTCAGCACCTCTTCCACACCCGACCCTCCGCCCATGAATGTGATCCCACAACCTCTCCTGGGGCCCACTCACATCGGGGTCGCTCGTCCCCGTATGAGTGAGCCCTTCATCCCCCGGACACCAGGGACATATCTCCCCCGTCTCCCGTGGCAGTCGGGGCGGACATGTCTCTGGATACACGTGCTTCTCGGCCCACGGCCCTCAAACCGCCGACGCCCGCTTCTCCTCCGGCGTCTCCTCCAGTATGTGCAGCAGTAGGTCGCTGAGGGGTTTCGCCATGGTGCGGTAACCTGCCGCCGTCAGATGGAGGAAGTCAAACATGACCTGTGGGCCGATGGTTCCATCGGAGTGAACGAACTCCGCGCTCAGGTCCAGCAGCAAAGCTTGGCCCAGTCGGGGCAGCCAGGAGCGCAGGAAGTCGTTAACCGCAGCGTTCTTCTGCCTCAGAGGGTTGGGTCGCTCGCCTCGAGGCAACAAACCCTAAGGGGCAGATGGATATTTCGGATTCATTCATTTAAGATGTATTATTGAGAGTTACACCTTGATATTTTGTATTTTAGTTTTAAATTTGACTATTACTACCCTATATCAGGGTAAAAAGGTACTAGGACAATCCTAACATGTCACTGTTTCCTGTCTACATGAAAAAAGACAAAGACAAAGAGCTAACTACTTACCAGTACAACTATCTTTGCTTTGGGGAGGCGGGAGGTGAGCAGCTGCGCAATAGAGAGAATTCCTCCGGCGACTTCCTCTGCGGTGTGATGGTGATTGTTGGTTCCCACCCATAACACCACCACCTGGACAAGATCCCAGATAACACACTTTGTTCACTTTCACTGAACTCCTTTTAATCTTAAAGCATGGCACATATTTGAGAGAATGAATGCAAAAGGTTGCATGCACCTGGTGTTTTTATGGATGGAAGAAGTAAAGTGGATAGGTTGTCCTGCAATGGAATAAAATGATTTTGCACTAAACTTAATTAGTAGACTGAGTTTACCTTGGGACGGATGTTTTGCAGCTCTCCATTCTGCAGCCTCCACAGCACGTTGCAGGTGGTGTCCCCTCCAATGCCGAAGTTGAGCGCATGGAGAGGGGAGAACACCTCCCTCCAGACCTGTGCAAAGGAAACCAAAAATGTGTATTTGATATAAGAATGACTGACTTAAGAGACTAATATCAGCGAACTCATTGGTGTCAAGCTAAGCAAAGCATGCAGATCAGTAACAAGACGCATTAAAACAGTAGGCGTACCAATATAACAATAGTATTGAGGCAAAATAAACACATGTTCAATCACATTGTATCTAGAGTTTTGTATGATAATCCTGCAATTTAGAAAAAAAAGCAATATGAAGATACTAGTGCCATGTGAGAAGTCAAATGAGCAGGTTTGAGGAGATAAACATCTTGTCTCACATCATAATGCTGCATTAGTTGTATCATAGAATCTCCTATGAAAAGCACATCTGGTTCAGCATCCTTACACTCCTGCACAAATCTGGTGTGCTGTGAAGAAAAGGAGAAAAGAAACAGAGCTTTGAATGTCATTTCAAATTACACAGAGCAATACAATTGAATTACTTCCATGTTAGGCATGTCGGTCAAAGTAAACACCTTTGTGTTACGAGTATTCCTAATCTTAGGATAATACTAACAAGGCATGTCTGGTGCTCCATCTAAGAGAGCTTGGAGGAAAGCAGACAGTCCTATTAGCTTTAGAGGATTAACCTTAAATGCAGGTACCACTTAACAAGGATGTAGAGAAAGTGGTGCTCTGAAAGAAATACAAGTCGTGGGAGTGGATTTGTCAACTTTTACATCAAATTTTTAACCAATATTATTGAGAGCAATGTTTTGTTTACATTTGTTTTGAACCAAAAAGTGACTAATTAAAGGGGAAAACATGGGTAAGCCCTATAAGGCCAACTGAGAAATAAAACACATCTCCCTCGGTGCCTCCATGCATTATACACAAGGATTCAATGGAGTATTTTAATGCAATATGTGGATAAAGATCAAAGAGTTTCCTACTTGTATTAAAACCACACATACCTGTGACATCCAGCGGTCATCTCCCTGTAAATCCTTCACTGGCTGAGCCACTGCAGCTGGGTTCATATCATCACCACTCATCCTACAGGAGACACCACCGCTTAATACAGCAGCCATACAGCTGACGTCATATATACACATTACACGTGAAGAGCCTGAACCATCGCTGCGTTGCGGCGGACTGACCGACACAACTCGTACGGATAGCGGCTACTTTCGCTTTCAAAGCGCGTGCTTATGGATCACACCGCGGATCCTATTAATCCCGATGTGGGTTTGGTCTGTTTGACGTTAGCTTGTTAGCTAACGTTAGCTAGCCTGCTAAAACGCTGGAGGCTGTTACCGCTGAATCCGGTATTAATACGTTACTTATATATTTACATGTCCGTCGTTTAACGTTGTATCAGGATTTTATAGAAAGGGTTTTGCTCTCAACTGGCAAACTGACCTGGCAGAGTGTCGGCCGTCGGTTTTCGACTCCCTCGGCTTCGGACTTACTCTTTTGCCCCAACTTCGCCTTACGGTGGTTGAGGCTGGTAATGCTCGCTAGCAACCGTTGGCGTGAGACAACAAAAGGTGTGTCAATGAGGCAGCCTGAGGAGAGTCCTGTGCGGGAGAGCGCCGGTGTGATGGCATTAAGCCATAACGCCATCCGGGGGCACTGCAGGGACTGAGCTACAGGAGAACGGGGATTCTTTTACCCTGAGACTTGTCTTGTCAGGCAGCCATTCCATATTGGCTGCCAAACTCTGACTATAACGGCCATTGGTAACCCCTGCTAATCATATGTTCCATAAACCAAAAAACAGGGCTGCCTTCTGTATCATGTGGAGGTTGTTCAGACAGATAACTTCTATGGGCTGTTTCCTGAAAGACAAACCACAGGGAGGCATAGACCCCAAAACGCTGGTCCCGCAATGAATCATGGGTGGGTCTTTGGTTTTAACATGCGAAAAAGCGACTTCGCTGTTTAAACCATTTTAATTCGCATTCCCATACGCATCTCTGTAGTAATATATTTGTGAAGTGGATATCAGACACCAGCAGTGAAGGAAGCACAACTTAGTGGGGGGCGGTATTCATTGTTTGACATCGTACAGCACTGCCGACATCTTTGCTGTATGACACTCGTGGCCTGTCATAATACATCCACACCACCCGCGACCTGCCGGCCGCAATGCATCACGGTCATTTCAGGTCACATTTTGTTTCCCAGTACTGTGGGAGACTAAAGCTGTCATTTCCTATGGTGCATCCACGCAGGAAACCGTTGTCTCAGAATTTCAAGAACAATGTATTGTGTATATTATTTTTGATCATTATATTATATTGTTATGTATACCTGGCGATAAGGATTGTCTGATCATTATTCCACGATCAAACAATGATCATAACTGTTTGCAGAAGGCCGCAAAATCCAATTCAATGAAAAGCAACAGAGAAATGAAACTACAATACATGTTTTCAGCACTAATATTAAGTTTCCCATGTCAGTTATGAAGAAGTGTTACAATCAATTTACTTACCTTTCATTGAAGCAACTTTTGTGTAATATGCTCTATATAAGGATTCTGAGTTGTTGTTGTTGTTGATGCCTTATGAGTTGAAACAACCTGAATATTTCCTAAATGCAGTAACATATAAACAGTAATACTATATATATTATAGAAAAAATAACAATATGGGCTGCATGACAACTAAAAACATCAGTTTTTCATATGGAATTGTGTTACCCTTTACCACCTTACTTATTGCACATTGATTTGCTCTTCTTTGCTGCCTTTTAACTACTTAATTTCCCAGACTGGAGACTTTACCCAAAGGATATAACTGCTCATGATATTATTGACTTTGTAACAGAAAAGGTTTGAATAAGTAGTGTTGTGTTTTAGGTCTTTTAGGGTTTGGCAAGTTACAGCATGCATATGAAATATCATAATACCATCAAATCTGAGCATGCCTTCCATATGAAGTCAAGTGTGAATTTGGCACATTTGTTGACAGACCTGATCCGTGTGATATGACTGACTGAACTCATGCAATCATTAACAGGTACTGAAGGAGGTCACTGGCTAAAATGACTTAGTGCCATTTTCTTTGTGTTTACTGAGCACAATACATTTAAGTTGTTGTAAGTTAGAAGACACTTGTGAAAGCTATTTGTTGTCAACATGGGTTGTTGTTTGGATACTATATAGACAATAGGGTGCTCCAAACCAAAAGGACAAATTGGGCAAAATCGTTAAAAGGGAAGTTTGACATATTCCTTTCTGCAGGTCTGTGTGTATAAGCTAACTTGCTGATCAGTGTTATAGTTCCTCTACTTGCGCAACTTAGTAACCTTAGATTGAAGCGACTTCTGCAGATTAGGGCGTTGCCATATTAGGTTTGTCAGCAGTAAGTTTGTTCTAACCTTATGTTATAATAAATTAAGAGTGAAATTTGACAGACTCCAAAATGGATGTCGGTTGATAGAAAGAAACAGACAGTATTTCTTTGTATGTCAATGCTCTTCTTATCCTCATGCCCATTTTTGTAGGTTATCTGGGTTTAGAAGATGGTGTTGGTTACTGATCTCTCGAGGAGCACTGCGTGTGACCCGTGTGACCCGTGTGACCCGTGGGACAGGCAGGCGATCTGTTGCAAGCTTTCCGGGCCCTGAATCATCTACTTGCTGGACTGTTTGGTTACATGCACTGAACCGGTTCGTATTTCATGATATTTCGTAATACTCACTTGATCCGTTTAAACACCAAATGTAATTGACCTGCCAGGTGGCGATTGAAGTTAGGTGGGAGAGTCAACTTGAAATTGCCACTGTTAAATTACAGGACGTTGCATTAGCCGGATATCTGGTGAAAAAGTACTTACCTCTTATTGTCAGAGATGAATAAGTTGAATTTATCACAAAGGTCTTTATCGGGGAACAGGGAGCCTAAATTAAAGTCCCATCCCCACAAAAATGAGTTTTGCTTATTGTTGCCTCACTTGAATGTTGAAGCTTACCTGTGCAGAATGATGTATGCCTTCACACCACGAAGCAGTTTTCACATTTATCTGCTCAAGGAGGAAAGTCGCTCAGTGATTCTGGATTTTTCATTAAATGTCAAAATCCATTTGTTAATCTAATAAAATCTGGCTTGAACACCTGGTAGGGATGTGGAAGTATAAATAACATGTCACATTAACAAAATTAAAGCTTTTCCCACGTCAATGTCGATGCCAGAAACTGATGCTGTTTCTTTTCAAACCTTTCAATAAATCGTTTTTTTTCCCGCAGGAGATAATGAATCTAAGGTGGTCTACACATGAGGGATTTCGGAGTTTTCTTCTGAGGCATCTAGAGGGAAATCAATAAGCTACGTGCTCGAGGGGTACAACAGTTTTACACCACTTGAAAATATCATGAAATGCAACCGCAAGGTGGCGCCATTCAGCACACATTTACCTCAAGAACTGACTGATTAACTCAATCAGGTGCTATAGTTATCGACCCCCAAATAACTGCTCGTGTGCACATCCACAGTGTGTGTGTGTGTGTGTGTGTGTGTGTGTGTGTGTGTGTGTGTGTGTGTGTGTGTGTGGGCGTGCGGGGCGCGGTGCGCAGGTACGCAGGCTAACAGGTTGTGCAAGAGGTGAGCGTAACCCCGCCCCTCAAGTGCGCGTATGTGCGTGTGAGTGTAGCAAAAAAAAGGAGAGTCCCGTAAAAACAAACCCTCTTCCGCGTCCGACTGTGGCATGAATTGGGGCTGACAGTGTTTGAAGGGACTTTGATATTTGGGGAATCGACCCGCCGGAGTCGAGACCAACATGACCGATCTCGTGCATCGGATATGGGCGCTCCTTGTCCTCGGAGGAATGTTTGGCCCAGGTGAGTTTGAGCGACTTCCTGGAGGGATTCTGCCCCGCAGCCCTTGAGCCGCGGAGAAGAGGGGTTTATTCTGGGCGGTGGGGGGGTTGTACGACACACACGTATGACACACGTGTGTGTTGATATTGCTGAAAGGTAGTTATTGAGACCATGAGTTATTCTCTCGTTTCGTTGTGCGATTATTATCTTTATACCGATGTGTGGAGTTTATTCACAAGACGTCATCAATTCTCCATAACCGAGATCCGTGACAGTAAAAAGGACATGCGCACCAAGAAGTTTGATGGTGATCGTTTCAACAAATGCTTTATATTATTAATTTCATGTCGTTTTCTAACTGACGCTTTTCTCCAAAGCGACTCTACATTGTATTTTTAACCCATGGTTTTTAGTGGGAGTGGTGTGGTAGCCGTAAGGGCGCCCGGTGAGTAGGTGTCTTGCTCAGGGAGCAGCCGGGGTTCGAACCGCCGACCTTGCAATTCCGGGCGCACCCTGCACTCTCTACTTCCCATGACGCCTAATGTAACCAGGTCTTAATTTCGGCCTAAAGGTCAATATTTATAACAATATTTAATGATCACCATTGCAAATAACTTGAGGCAAGACTTGAATTGCTGATTAAATCCCAAACCCTTTTAAGTTAAAGGGAAGGCAGGGATATGTTCTTGAGAACACAAAAAACTAGTCCACGTCAACAAACCTAGAGGTGCCATCAGATTCCATTGGAAACTACAGGTGAAAAAAGTCTTACTGATAGATAACATTAGACCTCCCCTGTTTATTATTTACATTTAGACAGTTGTGTATTACTGTTTTCTGAAATGTTATTTTTACGTTGAAAACTTATGTTATCTAACGCTTTACGTTTTAATGAATTTAAGATATATTAATACAAGCAGTAGTAAAATACACACACTTGTGTATTTTGCACACTGCACCACTAGTCTGAGAAAGCTTAAAAATTGGCAAAACTCTTGAAATCAACCAGTGCATAAAAAAAACATGATTTTGCCTCGTGTGTCTTGCCTTTAAAAAAAGACTTAATGTTGTGGTTAAAACCAGTCAGTTAGAACTTCGACCATGAGAATGTTCCTCTGGATATCTGAACATAGTTCCATTCTGTTTGATAAGCTCTCTTGTAGCGTCACAATGGACTGATAACGTGGAGCAGCCTTTGTAACGTGGCTAATCATAACATTCCCAGGAACTGAGGGAGACTTTGTGGAAGAACTGAAACTCCACTTTTCTAGGAAGGAACACAGACTTGTTTTTATTATAATAACATAAACATCTGCTTAGATACTTGTATACTCAATAATCACAGCTAAGATATGGGTTTGTTCTATGATTTTTTGTTCATAGTTATCCCGTTTTATCATTCATTTGGATCATTTACAGAATTGTGCTAGTGGGTCCTCCATACAGAGACACGTCTTTTACCGTCCTATTTTATTTTATTTTGACTTTGTCCAGGATTACAGAATATTCTTGTCCTGTTCTTCACTGAAGGGGTCTGCAGGTTTGCTCATCACTGTGGCTGACTGTGTTATGCAGATTTACCTCACCTCACCTCAAATATTAACTTCACCAAATCCCTTGAAAAAGATGAAGCGTTGTGGAAGTGAACTTACTTTGGCATGCTATATTTCAAGTCCGACATGAAGCATCATTCTAGTTTTATGTCAATAACATGTATTACTGAATGAATAATGAGTATAAAACATCCAAACCTGCTCCTATCAGCCCTATATTACCTGGTACAGGTACAGGCGGTGCCCATCTACATGTCTTTACTTGCACACACACGCCATCATTAACCCACAGTAGGCCATGTTATTTGTTCTCCTGTTTGCTGTACTGAAGCACTGAAGCAAAGTCTTTTAGAATGTTGTGGGCGGTGGTCATTAGAAAAGACTGTACCTCACAATCTATACTGTCGCCACAAAGAGTAAACGCGGCATATCTGGGTCTTTCTCTCCGCTCTCAACCATCAAGGACGTTTTGTTGTGTTGAAGAAGCTGCGATAACTACGTTTGCTCCAAACAGCCCTGCTCTTGTTTTTGTGGGTAAATGAAATGCTCCAAAATCGAGGAGTGAAATAGGAGACTGTGGCAGTTCAAGCCATCAGCTGTGTTGTTTGAATTAGTCAGGCAGTGGAGATTTGTATGGTTATGGTAGTCCTGATGGGTATTTTTTTCTCCCCTGTTGTTCATTATGCCAGGAGTGCGACACGTCACTGGAATAGACATTTACACGCCGAAAGAGGTGGAAGCACTCAACGGGACGAATGTGAAACTGAAGTGCACCTTTAGTTCCAGTCATCCGGTGTCGGTTACCTCGGTGTCCGTGTCCTGGAACTTCCGCCCCCTAAGTTCAGGGAAGGATGAGCCGGTATGTAGAATTGTTCTTTTTGATTAAGAAAAAATGTCATTATTAAATAAGTCACCACTTTTCATCAAAAGTGTTTATATATCTTGTGCTAAAGCCATTGGCCAAATATATTTGCCCTCTCTTAACAGCTGTCGTGCACCATATAAATAGCTCAGTTTTCCGTATTGTGTGGCAGGTGTTTTACTACCAGGACGTACCGTACCCTCCAACGGAAGGGCGCTTTAAAGGCCACGCCGTGTGGTCAGGAGATATTATGAAACGGGATGTTTCCATCACTCTGCATGAGGTGCCTCCGACCTTTAACGGCACCTACATCTGCCAAGTGCGCAATCCTCCAGATGTGCATGGCAGCAATGGAGAGATCATCCTCAAAGTCGTGAACAAAGGTTAGAGCGGCAGCGCTGCACGCTTGGAAGAGTAGTCTGTCCAGATTGTAGAAAAGAAAATTCAAAATTGTTCAGTTTGTCACCCCCTCCCTCCCCCATTTTCACCATTCACTCATTAATATCAATGCTTTCTTGATGTATTTTGCTAGTGTATTGCAAAAGAGCACTGTGGCATGTGGAATAAATCCAGCATTTCCCAACAGGAGGCATTGATATTTCCCTAATTTAGGGTCTTATTGCTTCCAGCTTCCTTCTCTGAGATCGCCATACTGGCAGCGGCAGGTGGAGCCGCCTGTGCTTTAATCCTGGTCCTCCTCGGCATCGCCGTAGCGGTGAAGTACTACAAGAGAAAGGGCAGGAGCCCGGACATTGAGATGCACCCGCCGGAGGATATGTGGAAGGACTCGACTGTGTGGTGAGGCCAGAGAGCCAGAGCGCCTCTTCTTCTCGCGACTGGTGTGGATTCTGATGAAATTTGATGGTGGATTCGGATGAAATTTGATGGTGGGGAGGCATCTTTTTCTTCCATCTTTGCTGCTCCAAAGGGAACCTCTCGGATATTATTGTGTCCTTCAGTGTTAGATTATTGTACCACCTTTTCCATTTGTACTAATGCCAATCTTTATTTACTGATATATGTTTTATCAAACGTTGTGAATGATTGTTATTACTAATTTCTTTTTTTTAAATATGGAGAGATTTACATGCAGTTCTTGGAGCCTGTTCATTGACCTTTTATGATGTTTTTACAGAATTACTAAATTGTCTAAACACACAAAAAATATAGTTTAATATTTTCCTACAAAGAGTACTTCATACGTTATCCTGCTCCGGGGAATTTGTACATATCCTTTCTATAGCCTGCCTTTGGCATAACTTTCCCTTTTTCTCTGTGAGCAGCAGCTACAAAAATAGTTGCATCATAGTTTGTGTCACTTTAACTTAAAAGTGATACAAAGTTAATACAAATGAACAGGTTTTGGTGGAGAAATGTTCCTGAACTGATGTATTGATCATCTTTGTCTGCGAGATGAAGCAGTACATTAATTCTCTGTGGTACTGTGGTTGGGTTTCAAAATAATTTCTGGGTATATTTCATGTTCAACGTCATTGTTATGTGCATGCATGTGTGTGTAATTGAATTTGTTTTTGTGGGCATTGCGTCAGTTACCCCGAAGAGGCCGTTCGTCTGACAGTTAAGAAGAAAAAAGACTCAAAATTCAGATAAAATCGAGTCTGAACCCAGCGATGGAGTTCTGGATTAAGAGGAAGGGGACGACGACAATGATGGTGACGATGATCGAATGGACACATTCACCGTTTTAACGTTCACCTTTTTGCTGTTCACGTATGTGCTTTTCTGTGTGATTTATAATACTTTTACAGGACTGAATTATAGTGTGTATTTCTGCATATGTATTATTTTTTCACAATAATGACGAGTCAGACGATGCGACTCGCCTGTCAGCAGCGCGGTCAGAGATGCGGGTGTGTCATGCCATGTGATACAACCACACTTCCATATTTTTCGGACCCACCGAGTTTGCCTCAGGCGACATGTTAGTCAGACTTAAATCCACTGGATGGATGAGTGTTTGCTGTCCATAAACGTTGCTTCTTTGTGCTACCTTGACTACAGCTGCTGCTGGAAAGCTATTGCCTTGGATCAATATGTGTTTCATGTCAAATAAATTCAACATAGATTGTTCAAGAGAAGAGCCAGTTTATGGGCTCATTGCTACAAACCCCCCGACTACGATAGTGTTTGTTCAACTACAACGGTGCCAGATGTTTCTCCTGTTTATTTTTTTCTTAATACATAACTCAAGAGTACACTCAACTTTTTTTTTTATGGAGAAGTTATTTTTTTTCAGAAAGTCCATCACAATATTTTTTTAGTGATCAACAAAAGGCAGTGTTTACTGCACAATTGTTTTTGTATATAGTTTCCGTATATAATATATATGTGTAAAGTAAGTTGGAATTGTACATTTTTTTTAAATGACCTGCAAAGTTGTTGTAGGTATATATATATTATATATATATATATATATATATATATCTGTATAACAACTCCGGAATAAAGAACGTTTTTTAAATAATTTCAATTGTATGACTTAAAAAAAAGGTTTCAGTGTGTTTGAAGAGACTGGGTGGGTGAGTGTGAAATACCAACCAGCGGCCAGTCCCGTTTGGCCCAATGAGTTACAGTCTTAACCGCTCTGTTAAGCCCACTGTTTGTTCAGTGCTAAATGAACTCTCCTTTTGCACTTCACCAAGTGGTATATTAGTAAGTATTTGTCTTTTTTTCTTTACTTAAACAAAAGCTGGGGTTTAATATCTGTTCTCTTAAAAAATATCAAATAAAACTCAAGTTTGCAGGTAACATGAAACGGGTATTGAAGTCATGGTGGAGGGAGTCTCATGAGGACATGTGGGACGACTCAAGCTGATCATAAACCACATTCATCAACTATTTTGCTCTGACTGAAAGCAGGCGTGCAGTTTTGTGAATGGGTTAAGTGCTGGTAATGAATACAAAGATAGTTTTCCTTAACAAACGTCTTCAAAATATCCGCAAAAGAGAGTCAGTTAATGATGGGTAAGACTTCGGCTCAAAGTAAATTAAACATTTAAGTGAATTTGTCCACATTATTCCTTAGGCGTACTCTTTTACAGATAACAACAGCTAAATTAATGAACCCTAGTTTAGTTTTGCTTTTGGGCACGCTGAAATGTATTGGAGTTAATTAGGCTCTTATTGCTCACTAATAAACCCTTTGATTATGTATTATTCTTATTTTGCCAGCTTATGGGCGGACACAACAGCCGTTTTGCTCAGTACTGTAAATAAAGCAACTACTTTATCCTTTTTTTTTCTTTTTCCAATACATTTATCTGACAGCATTGAATGCTTATACGTTTTATATGTTGAGTTAATTCTTTTCTGCTTAAGTGGTATTTTGAATACAGGGCATTAACATTTAATTGAATATTTTACAGTATTTTACTGTGTTTTACTCAATTAAACAGATAAGTATTTCTTGTTATCTATTTCCATAATGTGCGCGTGCTTGTGCTGCTCTTACTCACTACAGCGTGTCCTTGTCTCTTTTTGGAGCAGCATGCATTTTGCTGCAGCAGGAGCAAATGACACCTACGTGACTTTAAAAGCTGAGGGTGCACTTACGTGCACACATGAATGCTAATATTTATTGACACAGTACATACCATGGGGTTGTGTTTGTGTGCTTATGACTGCTCTCTGTAGTTACAGATGTCCTACATAGCTCTGCAGCAGCATCCAATCTTTCTGCAGCAAAATGCTGGGGGGGTTTTCTGCTCTTTGCAGTTCTGGAAGAGTTCCCACTGCTGCTGCATTGATCCTCAGTGGAGGGGCCTGGAGAGGAGAGCGCTGAGCCTGCAGCCAAGCCACATGATCTCTCAGTTTAGAGCTCCACATCCGTCACATCAACACCCCGCTCCACCTACTGTCACCCAGCGCCACACTTCACGTACTTGTACATGCATATTGTGAACCACGTTGGTCATTAATGGTGTGACTGTGTGATCCTCTGGCTATTTGTTTCAGGCACTGCCCATTCTAATTTGAATACAAACTCTGAATACAAACCACTGTGTGTTTAATTAAACACACAGTCACTCATTATACTGTGAAAAACATTCAATGTGGATTACTGCGCTTGCAGAGTTTTCGCCGGTTGTGTCAGGACCATCCATTCACCTCACTTCTGAATATTCCCTTTACTATATGTGCACATATAGTAAATGGAAATTATAGCTGACTTAGACACATTTCACTTTAATTAACACAAATTAAGACACCTCGTAATCTTCTGCATGAGCTGGTAAAGAAAAGACATGCCAATTCTATAGAGTCTTTATTTCTGCTTGATATTTAGCTCAATTAATAACGAATGGCAGATACCTGCATCTGTCTGCATAACTGAATCTGCTGGTGCAAATTTCAGTTACAGCCCGTCGGAGTCGCAAACATTACCTTTTCTTCTAATGTTAGAGAATGCAAGCAGAGGAAGCGGGATCCCAAGTGGATGTGTAGCTGAGGACAGCCTGTGTAATTGTACTGTACTGTGCTCAGATATAGCCCACTCATCACATGGTCTCAGTTGCATCCAGTTAACACTCTCGCTTCTTCTTATTTGCAATTTGAACTGAGATTAACCTCTTACCCGACAAATATTTTCAAATTAAATAATAAGCCATAATTACTATGTAGTCACCTTATATTTACAGTAATGGATAGTTTTACATAATGGCACATAATGTGTATGGATGCAATGACAGCCAAGTCTAACATTGATTAATTAAATCCGAAAACTCTTCTTTAGTCGTGACCTGCAGTGAATGGTGAAGCTGCATGCTATTGGTCAGCTGTCGATGACTGATGTCTACAATCATTACATTGCATTACATGTCATTTAACTGACGCCTTTATCTAAAGCGACTTACATTGCATTTTTAACCCATAGTTTTACATTTTGAATCCATCCCACACAGTGGGAGTCGTGTGCAGTCGTAAGGGCTGCCCTGGGAGCTGTTAGGGGTTGGGTGTCTTGCTCAAGGACACTTGAACATGGGACATGGAGCAGCCAGGGTTCAAACCGCCGATCTTGCGGTTCCACGACGCATCCTCTCTACTCCATGCGCCACCGTCGCATATCATAATGCATTTGCAGCCCCATTGACCTGATCACAAGAGAGAGAGGTGTCTGCCTCATGATATACAAGATAGTTTGACCTTTGTGGAATTGAGTAGAACACACATGCACACATCACCGGTGGCTGAGGAGGCTGATTATTCTGAGCCCGGAAGGAGCCTGCTTTTGACGACAAGAGGAAAGCAAAGTCAAATAAAATGTCCTTCTCTCCATCTAGGAAGGACACAGAAAATAAAAAAATAAGGAAAAGCTTAAAAGTCCCATTACAGTTCAAAATCAGACATTTTCAATTGTGTAAGTAGAATAGAGAGTAAGTCTTTTCTAGTTCACCCTCCCACGTGTAATTATGTCATGCTAATATTTAATTCCTTGACGGTGACGTTATCAGAGAAACATCATGTCTACTTATGAATGGAGAGTTTTGATTCAGGACTGTGTGACTGGCCCTGGGGATGCATTACACAGCCTCCTCCCCAACCTGCACTGCAGAACTTTTCTCTGATCTTCACTAACACGCTGAGAAAAGTGCCTGACTCTGCATACACGCCCCGAGTCAGAAGATGGGGAGGAGGGTAAGGCGGGGAGGGAAGCGGACAGGGGAGGAGGGAATAGGGTTGATGGAGGGAGAAAGAGAAAAAGAGTGAAAACAGGGGCAGGTGAGGGAGGGAAGATAGAGAGGCGAGGGGAAAAGAGAGAGAGAGAGAGAGAGGTGGCATGTAGCCAACAGAGAGGACGGGGAAAAGTTGTGAGGTAGCCGGAGGGACGGGCAGGGAGGAGAGTCAGCGTCATTGGTGCTCTGCTGAGGGGAAGCAAGAGCAGCTTTTCCTCCGGTCCGTCTGTCTCTCCACATTTCTGTCTTTCTCTCTGTCTACCTCTCCACTGTAATTATCTGTCATCCTGGCTGTGGCTGTGATGTGGTGGGTTCTGCAGTGAAAGTGCCGGCTGGCGGATTCTCCTTGAGTGAACCCTGACTGTGCGCAGTATTCGCTGCTGTCCTGTCCACACTGACTCAGCTGTGCAGGCAGCCTGCCGGCCTCTGAGCGAACACCAGCTGCAAGAGCAGGTAAAGAAAGGCATGACAGAACTTGAGCTGTGCATTTTTCTTAAGCGTTTACATTCAGTCGAGGAAATACTGTTTGCACATGAAGATTAATGCATGCAGGAAACATGTAAATACACTCAGTCTGTGCCGAAATAACTTTTTACTGTACTGTCTGGGCTTTTACAGACACGAAATGTTCCATTTGAACATTTGTGTTGATTCACTTTATCTTTCTTTCTTTCTCTCTCTCTGTTTCCCCCGACCCCCACGCCTCCCTCTTTGCCCTCTGTCTGACCTACAGCCTCTTCCACCGTGGTGCACTGGGGTTAGGCGGGCAGGCTGCCTGCACCCTGACAACTGCGTGTGCTCGACTGGGACGTGCCTTGTTCGGGGTCCAGACAGCATATTCCAGATTCAACACTGTAAACCAGAGAAGCCGAGCGGGGCTAAAGGATATTTTACGAGCTATCTGGGAGCCGTTGGATCCTGCAGCAGTATCTGTTTCGAAACAGACAAGCCGGCTGCCATGGAGGTGCAGTGGCTTGGGGTTGAATTCCCGAGGCCGGGCCCTCCACATAGAGCCGTTGGCCTGATCTTCTCCATACTGCTTGGTAATGTACCAACGTCACCTCCTACGATGCCTCCTCATTTCTCTTTCTTCAAAAACTTCTCATTTGGGTTTTTCCACCACTCACTCCTCATGGATACGTACAAATTCTTCCAAAATCAATGTATATGTAATGTATGTTTGTGTTGTTATGCAGAACGATGATGTTGAGGCTTTACGAAATTTGACATTTACCTTCATCAGTTTCTGACTAAGTCAGTATTGACTGCAATTGTATTTAGGTTAGTACACCACGTTCAGCCTGGGAATGTTTTGTTAAAATGTACTTGATCATTGTCATTGTTCGATAGTTTGTTGTTATCTGCGATCCAAATTGGTAGGGTATGGTTGGGAAAAGTAAATGTTAGAATGGGAAAGCTGTGTCGGCCCTGAGGCACCCTAGACCAGAGGTTGGATTTGCCTGCAGTGGAGGTGTATCTGCAGTAATAGTGCACAGAGTCACTAACAGTTTAATTTGTATTTGATCCACAAATCAATATCAGAGTACTTTTGCAGAGATTGTGCAGTTACAGTACAGTAATTATCCAGATGTGGTATTGTCGATTAAATTCATGCAGGAGTTTGCAGGAGGACTGACAGTCGTGATAGCCTCCACCTTGCCTTAATAATGTTATCGGCTGTGAATAAGGTTTTCTGTTTGCCTAAAGTGACACATTACTGTAGCTTTTGAGGAAAATAAGTATCCCATTACCATCAAATTTCAGTCACAGGTGACACATTCTGTTTAAATATCCTGGTCCACTGGCATACAGCTGCTCTCCTGCATGTTACGGCACTAGCCGTTATCTGAAAATGACCTATTTTGAGTAATACACTGTCACGATATGTGCGTTTTAATAATCCTGTCTGGCACTGTTTTTGTGTCAGAAAGTGTGTGCTGCATCAGTGCAGCAATAGTGCAGCAAAAACGCATGAGAAAGGTTTTCCACATGAGACCTTAGTCTATGACCTCCTGTGTAGGAACTGTGTGCTCTAAAACCACCTCACAACATTCTTGGCCTTGTAAAAATTGATCAGATGAATCATTTTGAACCTAAAAAAACATGGACAGACAGTTGAATTGTGTTGCCACGTAAAAATGTGGATGCTATTTTCAGAACAAGAATGGCTTTTTTTATAGTGAAACAGTTTGGTCGTAACAAAACGTGCTTGGTAGACTTTTCTTAACACACGTAGCAGAAAGAGAGATGCTACAGCTAAGCTTCAGCACCATGACATTAAGCCAATATTTTTTTACCCTATTGTATGAAAAATGTAGCCTAAAGTATTTTACATTTGACAAGCAGAGGCAGTGCTGTTTTATGTCTACGTATTTTGTCTTTCAGCACAAGCTTTTCATAATACTGCTGTCTTGCTGTTCATTCCAACCATTCGATATCATTAACCACATTCGATATAAATAAGACATACATAAGATGGATTCTTTTTCCTTACTTTCCCTCGTTAACCCCATCGCGAGCTAGCAGGGTTTTTGGCATCTGCTCTGAAAATGGCATACATCATAAAAAGTGTAATAACTCTGGAACTACTTTGTCTATCTGGAACAGGGATTTTTCCCCTGTGTGTGTTCTGTGTACAAATAAGCTCATATGTTACTGGTGAAGAAATAAATCAATAGAACACAGAAAAAAATAACTTTTGAATTTTTGAGAAGAGACTCGATGCCCTGTAAAACACGAAGATAGCAGACTAAACACACATTTACGCGATAGCCCAGTGTGTGGACAGTCCTCGTGGGAAGTCGCACGTTGACAGAGTGGTGATAACTACTCTAAAGGGGGCTCCAGTGCAGGCCTCACGGCAGAGAAACGGCAGGAATCCGTCTACTTTTGGTCGATTGGCATGGTTCAATACTTCCTACTTCCTATTGGATCCGACAAACACCACGCGGGAAAGAGCGACAGCTCCCTTTGCCACTCAGAAGTCCAAACGAGTAGAGCGTAAAATGACTCCAGAGGGGTTGGCTTAGAAACTCCCCCTAGCTCTTAAAACCTGCGCAGAAGGCTCTGAAATTGCTTGTGAGGCGGCTGCACCTATCTCGCTAAAAAAAATCCTGTTCATGATTTCATTTAAAATGTCAAAAGGAAGGGACATTTATAAATATATGCTTATGAGGCTTGGTGCTTATTTTGCTTTGACTTTGGCACAGTTTGTGTGAGAGCAATAATACGAATATGAGTATTGTTTAGGCTAACAGTTCTCGTTTTTGTTGTAGCCTCTAGTTTTGATGAAAAAAATGCACATTAGCATAACATATTTACTTTACTTTTTGGAGCATTTTCAAACGGATAAGTGGAGAATATGGAGAGTACTGGATATTGCTGTTGGAAGTTGGTTCTGGCTCGGTTTTTCACCCATATGGAAGAAGCTAGTAATCAACATCTCAAAGAGATGCTAACTAGTGCCATTCATGTTTGGTTGACCATTGTATTTAATAATACAGGGGGGTTTGTACAGCTAGAGATAAAGTAGCCAATGTTATCTCGCTTCAGATATATCTGTATTGGTGTTAATGCCATAGTAGTTAGATAGTTAGTTAGTTAGAGGATCATTTAGAAACGGTGACTTCATAGTTTTTCCACCAGGGAGTTTAACTTAAGGTTGAAAAATGGAATGGATTTTACAACACAAAACATCTTGGTCATCACAACTTGATAAAAATGATTAAAAAAGTGGAGAAAAGCATAGAATTATCAATTATTTAAGTTCTTAAATACTGAGTATCAGCCTCTAAAATGTAGTTTTATCCAGTATTCTGTTATTTTGATTTACACTGTATTTTGGGAAATAATGTGGCGATTATATGTTCTGAGATATTCTTAGATTAGCATATATAAACTGGAGTCTCACTGTTCTGCTTTTATCTGAAGCTTCAACATCCAACAAAAAAACCTTATTTAAATTTAGGGTAGTATTTTAATGTTGTCAAAAAAAATCAGGTTTTGTTGTGCTGCTGCAGTCACTACAAATATGTTACAATAAATATTAAAAAGATATTGTGAAAGGTTAATAAAAACGTTACACTATAAAATGTGAACAAGTGAAAAGACGCGCTGTTGCTCTCTCCTCACTGCTTCTATTGCTGTTTTTTGCAAGCTCACCGTGCTGCATTGAAACAGCTGATCAAAAAGATTGGAGAGAGGGAGTTATGCAAGATAGCGAGGGTGAGATGAGACGGAATCAATAACATTCCCAAACACAGTACACCACAAGCTCTCTGTGTGACGCCCTGTGCTACTCTGTACTTGCTGCATTGTGGCTTGTCATACGTTGACCTTGACCGTGTTTTGATCAAAATGTAACACAAAAAACAGAATCCTGGGAATGTAAGCGGCGGTGCAGAAAATAGAGCCGCTCCGGAAACCATTTGTCTTTTCAGGTGTTGTGTTTTCTCTCTATAACCTCATCATATGTGTACTAGTTCTGCACGGCACTTGGTGAGCATGTAGTTAACATCTCAAACACTAGACGGAAGCATTAAGCAGGACGAGCTGAACATTTGGTCTGTCCTCTAACGGCTAAAATGATTTACTGTGACCTTATCACATAAACAGTAGGTGAGAAACCAATGAGGAAAGAGAAAAAGATAATTGATTAAAAAAGACTGGTAGTTCGAGTTTTGATGTGCAAGTCAGTGCAAGTCAGATTTACTGTCACTGTCTACTCTCTATTGTTGAGAGGTAACTGGATGAGCAGGCTGGACTTGTGTTGTGACCATGAAATGGAGCAGTCAATAAGTGTAGCTTGTATACTAAGTTCTGACGAAAGGTAAAATAATCAAGCCTCTTTTCTGCCACAAGGTGTAGTTATAGCACAAATATGACAAGCATTTAGGAAATGGACGCTTCCGAGGGGGAAAAAAAAACGTTTGGTGCATATAATCCATGCCGGATAGACTGTACATTAGTGACCATGGGCTGGTAATTTGACTCTGTTAACTTCACAGCAAACCCGATGAAAACTTTTACAAACGTAGAGCAGACTGACATTAATTTAACACAACGCTGCTTCTCTGAACAGTGCACCTGTGCCCTCTGTGGTCTTATTTTAATGTGGTTTATATTCCTCTTCCTCCTCAGGCGCTTGGTCTGCTCAGGCCCTGGAGATGTTGGTTGGGAAGATTCCTTTTCTGCAGGCAGTGAACGGCAGCACGGTCATGTTGCCTTGCTCATACGCCAGCTGTATCGGTATAGAGGACCTCTATTTTAACTGGCAGTTCAACGACAACGGCACCATGCAGAAGGTAGGAAGCCGCTTTCGCAGAGAAAGATTCACGTCCAGGTAATTGGCGATTGATGGCTTGTCGGTCCCATCAGGTGTGTGATTCAGTGATAGCATCGGAGACGTCGGTGCCTAAAGTGGCCATCTATCGGGAGCGGGTGGAGTTTGTGGGGATGAACCGTGCCAACAACATCTCCATCTTGCTGTGGAACATCACCTTTGAGGACGGAGGCGAATACACTTGTTTTGGACGCAATCCCAAAGAGAAGGGCAGGAACCACAGTGCCATCTTCCACCTGCTCGTGGTGGACGAGTGTGAGTGGTCGAGGCCTTTGCTTCGTTTTCCTATTATCATTTATAAATGGGGTCGCCAGGCAAAGCCACGTTGGTTCTTAAGTTTTCAATGCATTACATTTAGTTTTTAAAAAATATGTAAATTGTTCACAAATACCAGACAAAAATCTCCCCCCGTTCAGCATTTAAAAGTCTGTCCAATTACGCCCAACATGACGACACATCCCTATAGATGTTCCTAGTTTAACTATATGCCCTGATATACTGTTTATATTGGCCAATGACAAATGTGGGACGGCTCACTCGGGATTCATGCTTCATGACCCCTTAATGTGCACACTTAAGTAGTAATAAACTAGAACGTTCATTTGTGTTTTGATGATGAGATTGTCGGGGGAGAATTTGTTGAGGTGCATGTTGTGAGAGTCTCAAGAACTTGTATGTGACCTTTCTTGGGAAACTCGTGACCTGACCTAGTCTACGATGACATCCATATGTGGCTTGGACAGACCATATCATGTTCTTCTATTTACCTTTCTCCTCTGTTTTCCTGTCTGTCAAAATGATTGACTTGGTCCCACTAAGAGGGTCGTGGAGGTTCCCGAGACAACATCTGGTTAGCATTCCTCGAACCTTCAGAGATGTATAAAAGCTCCTCGTCCCCCATAGAAACTTTGTCAGATCTTCCTGCTCCTTTTGGGGGAAGGAACTTTCTGTCCCTTTTCAGCTGAATTGTAGTCATTTGACTTCTGTCTGTGCTTACGGCTTGTGCTGATGATCTCTGTATTCTTTATCATTTTTCTATATCCTAGTTAGTAATAAATCCTTAATCACAAAGCAAGCTCAAGATACTTTTGATTTCTCACATGGGCTAAATCCACAAATTTCCACCACAGAGATAAATCAGGCCCCTTAGGGAAAAAGGAAAAAAAATGATCCCACAAAAGGAAAATAGAATATTAAGAGTGTAGAATTAATTTATGACTGATTTAATACTTCCCTTTGTGCATTTATTCAATTATTTCCTAAAATGATTTTGTCACACGCATACAAAAGCTCACAATCCAGGAAAGCTACTATTAAACTAAACATTCTATAGTTTGTAAGTAATAAATTGGGTGTATGCAGTTCATCCTCTAAGGTCAGTCTGTACATCGTCTGAATCAGTTTTGGTTAGTCGGGCTTAGGCGATGGCTGCAGCCGCGGGCGACATTACAGCCCCGACCTTTCGTTGATGAACCAACTCATTAGAAACACCCTTTGTAACAATACAAAAGTTATTTCTCTTTCTTAAATGGTTCGTGTTAATACTTTTCTCTCTCCATGATCAGTACTGTGGTGCGTTGTTAATGTCTGCAGTGAAGGTGGTGGACAACACGCTGACCATCATGATAGCCTCAGCTGTGGGAGGAGCCATCGCAGCTCTAATGGGCTTCATGTTGCTCAAGAACTTCACTCTTTATGTTCTTTCCAAGCTCGAGGAGAGAAAGTGAGTTTTTGCAACCACCTGATCGTTCGCCAGCAATGCAGCCATTTTCCTACTGTTTCATCGGAGTATGGAGTGAGTTTGAGATGTTTCTTTGAGCTGCCGTGCGTGTACAGTCCTAACTTTGTCTTCTCCTTTTTTTCCTCCAACGCCATTGCAGTAAGGAGTGCCTTGTAACTTCATCAGGGATCGACAACACAGAAAATGGCCTCTCAGGATCCAAAGCGGATTCAAAACCAACACCAAAAAAGAAATGAGAAAGCGCATGTATATGAAACCATATTTATGTACCTTCTTTGCATATATTGGTATATGCACATGTGATGCACACTGGAACATGTATTAGTGTTAAGTTTGGATCCTAAAAACAGCCTGGCTGTGGCTCACAAAGGAGAATACATGCGGCTGCGTACAAATGTGTTTGATGATATACAACTGAAGAATGATGATTACAGAGTACATGTTAAGTGCACATGACAGAGCTTGATTGATTGATTTATTATTATTATTGATTTATTGAGAATAATTTCTAAATTATATAATATTTACTTCCCGCGTCCCACCTGGTGTCTTAGTCATCAACCTCTTTTCAACATATTATCCATATTATTTGTGTTTTTTGAGTGGAACCATTAACTGGGTCTGATAACAGTTCAACATTATATATATATATATATATATATATATGTCTCTGATAGTCTGGATCTTTTTAAATATCTTACAATAAAAGAAACCATGCGCACATCTTTTACCTCATGCTGTTGTGAATTGCTGTGTAAGCCTTATTAAATCATGTTGGGGGCTTTTCACAAAACAAACAAAAAACAGTTGTATATCATCGTTGCACAGTTGTGCTCTATTGAAACTACTTGGTAGCCTTGATAAAACAATGATTGGTCACAGCCAGGATACATAAAAATAACGTCAACCTTGAGCATTTTCACATGAAGTCAAAATAATAACACTTGTCTTTTAGTGCTTGAGACAGGAAATAATGGTATGTAGTTAAAGCTGCGCTGAATCCTAATTCAAAATTTACAAAAGCCATTTGATAAAATGGACAACTAAATAGAATTATCCATCTCACGGATACACTGATGAATTTGTAGCTACTTTCCATAATACACCTCTAGTGTATTGTATGATGTGCTGTATTAAAACAAAGGGTGCTTACAAAAATGGTCCTGACATAATATTTTAGGATTCAGCCCAGCTCTTCATCCTGTAACTTCTATTTGCTTGATATAAAACATATGTGCCTGTTATTGCTTCTGTGCTCCTCTGCCAGCAAAGACGACTACATACTGCAAAATAATTTATAAAGCTCAGCAAACAGTAGTAATACAACAGGCCTTTGACTTAATGGACAATCCCCTGAAGCAAACCCCTTAGAAAATGAATGAACCTCTGATAATTCTGCTTTTAAGACATATAATCAATGCATTTAAGCATGTGCAACACAGGCCAGACTTTAGACACAGTGCTTGAAAACAAAGAATACATACTTTTGGGGGAAGAAACCACCTTTTGGTCTAATGTGCTAATAACACTGTCAGCTCTGAGGTTAACTGTGCTAATTTCATCGTGTAAACCCATGCTGTGGCCATGAATGCAGTATACCTGGATCGGACTCAATATATTTGCTTGTGCATCACGGTTCAAAAAGGTTCATTTCTCAGCACGCGCTCTTAAATGAATACCGTTTATAGCTGCACTGCTGTGAAAAAGATGAACTTTTTTGCCCTGACCTCAGTTAGTTACCGGTAAACTCGCAGTCTAAATGATCATGGCGGTCGGGTCTCGGATAGCAGGTTGAAAAGGGGCACTGCAGATCAGGTATTAACTCTCCGCAAAAAAGAGTGATGCACTGACTGCAAAACAGGGACGGTTCCCGCTAAGCATTGTTGCAGGAGATGAATGTACCGTATCTGCACACAAAAAGTGAAATACTATTTCAGCTGCATTTACAATATACACGTGTTTTGCACCTTCAAGACACTGAATGTCTGGCTTTAAAAAGAAATACCTCTGGAGGATGGGACAGGTGTGTGGCTGAGCAGGGGGTCAGGTCCTCCCCAGTCTCAGCATAGCTTTGCCAACCGTACTGTGAAGAGTTTCTGGTGGTTTCAGAAGCTCGCTGTTATGTTTAGAATAATGTGCCTCCACGCTAAAGTGACTCCAGCCTATATTCACTGGCTTGAAGCAATATTAAAAAACTGATGTGTTGGCACTTTGAAAACATGTATATATTTTTGTGTATGCATAGGATCTAATGCCAATCGGTGTCAGTCTGTCACATTGATCACCAAAGTGAGATAAGGATATGACATGATGATTGTTAGTTTAATAGAGGGATCAGTCTTACAGGAACAGTTTTGACATTTTGGGAGGTTTGCAGATTTACTTTCTTGCTTGAGATTATGAGGAATAACGCTCTAGTGTCTGGCTGGTTATCTTAGCGGGAAGGTTGAACTTCTTCCTAGGTTAAGAAAACCCAGCACCTCTAAGGCTCACTTATTAATATGTTAGATCTCTTATGCTCATTCTGAAGTATAAAAGGACAAATTGTGTTTTTTCAGAAGGGTTGTGTGCACTGCTGTTGCTAAGGTGCAGTGACTTCCTGGATTCTCCACTGGTTACCTGGCAACTGCACAGTGTCAACAATACTCCACGTTTTAAATGTACAATCCTACGTGTTTGTTGGTGAGCTTTATTGCTAGGAAGATTTTGTTTTTTTTAAAGAATTTGCTAAGATGAGTTAACCAAGCAAAATGAAAACAAGTTTCCTTTAGGTGGGCTATTAAACAATTGGCTGTACTATTGATGGAACATAATTTATTGGTTTGACTGAAAAAAAAAATGCTGGAAAAGATAATGCAGAAGGTGAAAGAAATATTATGGGTAATATATATTTGTCATTTGTCTTCCATATTCTTGTTTGATCTAAAAAATAGAAAGAATATAAACTGTGTCAAAAATACATTGTTAATCACAATGTTTTGCAGGATTAAACATTCAATTGCAATAATTAGATTTTACTGTTAAAGAGTATTTTTTCTCTGAGCAGGCTTTTGGGTGATGTTGAGATTGTGACAGTGAGGGCCTTATGATGACAAGCAACTCTATGCAAATCAACAGGATTGACAGTCGGTCACATGGCATGCACTTATGAGACAGTTCTGTGAGCGAAACAGGAGATGTGAATCAGGGAGTTGTGTTGATGGGATGCAGGCGAATGGGAAACATCAAGAGAGGAGCTTGGTGTGGACCGGAGCCTGTGCACTTGATCAAATCCTGCAGAGCGGAAGGGACTCCCCAAGTTATGCTCCACCTCTGCTCTCTGCACACAAATATAACCTACTGTACAACTGTAATGCTCTGGCTCGCCCTCTATTGATGTCTCCCGTTTCATTCCCTCACCCGTGCACATCAGCTCTTAATGTCTTTACTATAGAAACATGAAATATAATAAAGTTTTGAATACAAACTGCCGGTTGTTTTGTTTGTATATAATTGGATTTGATATCCGGTTGGGCCGCGGGACAAAGGTAACACAGATAAATACATTCCTGCTAAAATCATGCTCATGCTAATGATGTCATTAGAGTTATTTCAATTTATAAAAATGCAAACTCTTGCATTCAGAGGAGATCTAATACACAATACAAGTGTATCTGTGTTTTGGAGTTTTACGGGACCAAATCGTTGCATGTGCTGCATCAATTCTTAACATTTTACTTATTTAACTCGCACAATTTTACTGCTAGATTATCTATGTAATCCCTCTGCTAAATTAAGGAAATTAACCCGTCATCTTGTCAGTACATTTAAATTGGTAACAACATCCAGGCTCGGGCTGCTTTGCATGCAGCCTGAGCCTGGATGTTTGTTTAAAGTGATCTTATCTTCATGTTCATTTCATTGAATGCAGCACTTGATCCCTCTAATATTTCGAGGCTTGGAATGAGGATTGCTCAAAATGATTTTATAATATCATTGGATGCAATTTCTCTTTTCAGGTTCAGCCACTGATAATACATGAATCCTCCATTGGGAGAAAAAAAATGCACAAATATAATTTTGTACATATATGTATAATACAATACAACAATACAATATGCTCCTTTCTCCCTTTATGTTTTCTACAAAACAATATAGAAACTACAAATTCCATATAAAACCAATCATCACTTCCCCACTAAATCAAAGACACCCAAACACAATCCCACGTCACATCAACACTGTCCTTTGAAATTAAATAATTGTGCAGAAATGTGCCCCGTGCATGAATGAGTCTAACCAGCAGATGTCAGCAGTGACCCGCGTGTGCGCGCAGAAGCTTCAACCTCCGGTCACGACGGCTTGCTGCGTGAACGAAGACCATTTCCTGAGGATGTTTAAGTTTAAAGACCAGAACGTTTTCATTGAGTGACATTCTAAACACTGATGTCAAAAAGACCCACATGTCTAGATGAGTATTGGTTGCTTTAAGGTTAATATATATTCTTAAATTTGGGCATAAACTGTTTAGGGCATCATGTTCATTTAAAATGATGAACCTTTTTGCAGCTTAAGTTAAAATGAATGAAATGTATCTTCATTTGTATCATGTAAGTGACGTGGAAAACCTTTCTAAGCCATCAGATCCACGTCACTAACCTCAGGGCCTGTTATGTGCAGTGTGCATGTTTGTTTGAATACTTGGGCTGCAATAAAACGCAAAGAAATATTTTTTTTTAAGACAGTGGTATAAAAACGTTTTCTAGGCAAACTGTATAGTGAGTTCTGACCCAAAGAATACTGAATGAACCTAAACACAATTAAAACATCTAATTCGTTATAAATGCGGCTGCTGCAGAGGACGATCACTCCACAGATCCACAGTGACTTTAAATATTCTATGAACTGGGAGTGTCCTGACTCTCACCGCCCTAATTTATGCTTATGCAGGGGAGCGCAACAGAGAGCGGCTGAAACGGACACATGATTGTAGAAAGTTGCTCAGAATGCAGAAAGCACCCACTTGAAACCTTTGATCATTTCTGTGATTCACCTGCAGTCTTTGTCACCTGCTGTTTGAAAGTGTTATGCTCCACACCCGCGGCTCTATTTCCGTCGCCTCCTCTCTATCTGCATTGCATATCTGTGCGCAAATGTCTGCGCACGTTCCATGGCATCGAAAGACAAAGAAAAACACTCATTAATCTGCGCCGTGGCTCCACGTACACGAATTTACGGCCCGATCTCACACGAAAGGACACGGTTACGTTGTTTAGAGTCCCCGCAGCTACCTGAGTGTTTTTTTTTGTTGCTGTAGATCCATATTGCGCAAAGAAAACGCGGTCATCAGGGGTGCACAGGTGGGTGCGCTCCCGCCAAGGTGCCAAGAGATCTCTCTCTCTCTCTCTCTCTCTCTCTCTCTCTCTCTCCAGCGCTCATGCAAACCTGGACATTTGGACCCGCGTTCACCGAAATCCACTGTTCAGCCCACATCAACTCCCGACTTTGCTGTGTGACCCGTCGTTCCGCGGCGTTTGATTAGTGCGGCGAGGATGGATTTGTATGCACAGTAGTCTTGGGAGGAGAGGAGGGACATGGGCGGGGCTGAAGCGCCTCTCATTCCCCCTCCATGCTTAGCGGGGCAGCAGGGCTGGAGAGACCTCC